CTGGGCAAAAACGTTATCTACGACATCAGACGCTCACAGTCAGGGGAAGAGGGGCATCGGTTAAGACACACATATGACTATCTACCTTGCAAGTCAGCTTTCAGCAATGCAACTTTTGTCAGCAAAACGAAAAAGAAACAACAAAACAAAAAAATATAAGATGTTAGTAGAGGCACTGGAATGTTTGTGATTATAACAAATCAAGTGGTTCAAAATGTAAGGAAATACAGAAAGCAGACAGAGACGCAGGGGAGAAGAGAAGTGGAGTCAGAGATGATGAGAGAGAGTCAGTCAGGAACAGACACAGAGAAGAAAAATAAACAGGACACTATTCTGTAGGGCTGCATGATACTGGGAAAATATGCAATATGCAATATTGTTGCTGAGTGATAACGATATTTTTTATGATTCAACCAACTTTAAAAAAAAAACACTATTTTATCAGGAAATTTAAAATATATTTTTTCTATTTATGTAATAAAATCATACTAAAACAAAAAGGTAATAAAAAAACATTTTGAATTTTATATTGTCTTATTGTTTCTTATTGACTGTTTATCTCTCTTGTCTTCTGGAATTAGTTTTTATCTTCAGCTCTAGGTTTACCCAACAGCATCTATGGATGTAAATGGGTGCCAAAAATCAGCATTCTTCCAAATATCTTCTTTTTATCTTTAACAGAAGAAACTCATAAAGGTTTATAACAATACTGTTGTTGTGCGTTGTGATAATGATATTTCTTACAATATAACTAATTTTAAGAAACACAATTTTATCAGCAATTAAAAATAAGAATTTTTATGTGATCATCATACTAAAATAAACAGGTAATAGATATAATATAGTAGAGCAAAAAAGAAAAAAAAAATCTAAACTTTAAAACACCGCAAAAGACTTCTGATTCTTATTGGCTGCTCTCATTTTTCTCTCGTCTTCCATAATTTTTATTTAATTTTAGCTCTAGGTTCACCTAACGGCACCTATGAATGTAAATAGGTGCCAAAAATCAGCATTCCTCCAATTAACTTCTTTTTAGCTTCAACAGAAGAACGAAACTCATGATGGTTTAAAACAATTTTGTTGTTGAGTGTTGAGATAATGATATTTCGGTCACACTTTACAATAAGGTTCATTAGTTAATGTTAATTAATGCATTTACTAACATGAACAAACAATGAACAATACATTTACTACTGTATTTGTTCATGCTAGTTAATGTTAGTTAATGAAAATACAGTAGTTTATTGTTAGTTCATGTTAACTCATGGTGCATTAGCTAATGTTAACAAGAATAGACTTGGATGTTAATAATGCATTAGTAAATGTTCAATTATGATTAATAAATGCTGTACATGTGTTGTTTATGATTAGTTCATGTTAGTAAATGCATTAACAAATGAACCTTATTGTAAAGTGTTACCGATATTTCTTATGATATAGCTAGTTTAAAATAAAACACTATTTTATCAGCAATTAAAATAAGAATTTTTGTGATGATCATACTAAAGTAAGCAGGTAATAGACATACAGTAATATAGCTAATTAAATCTTCAAAAAATTGAATCAAAAAGTTTTATTACAAAAATTTAGACTTTCAAACACCACAAATGACTAAAATGACTCGGAGGAAAATATGCTTCTTATTGGCTGTTGTCATTTTTCTCTCCTGTCTCCCAGAATTTCTATTATTTTTTAACTGTAGGTTTAGCTAACAGCAAATTCACCATTCTTCTAAATATCTTCTTTTTTATAGGAGAGGTGAGGAAAGGCCCCATCTGATTGATTACATTTGCAAAAATAACTTATCCATGCAGCACACTATCTTGGTCCATAAAATGTATTTAAGTCATTGCACTTCTCTGCAATAACAAATATACATATATAGCACAGCCCTACTGTGGTAATCAGTATTATCTAATCCTAAAATAGATTTCTACGGGTGTATTCATACTTGGCAGGTATGTTTTTTTATTAAACTGAACAATGGTGCAGTTGCTGTTTTAGTGCAGTTTATTTGAATAGGTGAATAGCTGCTACCATCTGAATCCTAGTGTGCACCAAACAAGCAGACCAAGACAGCTAAAAAAGATGGTCCACTTTTAAACATACTACGGTGTGGTCTGTTTGAAACAAACAGTGAATGAAACATGGACCAAATACATCTTAATGGACCAAAAACAGAACATGATGTCACGAGACAGAAAGCACAAGCATACTTTGTTTTCTTTTCTCCATCATAGTCATCTTATTAAAGTTCAAGAGAAATGTCAGAAATGCATCTATATCGAGCAAACTTTCGTGTGTGTACGTGTGAGACTGAGGGATAAGTGGTACTCATTTGATTCCTTTATATATGTTGTAAGCTTAAGAGTTTTCAGCTGATAAAACATGCTCACACTTTTCCCCCTGCTAAGTAAATCAGGACTAAATGTGTAATTGACTTTGTTTGTACTAAAAGTGTGAACTTACCCAACTAAGGCCCCGTTTACACTAGTGCGTTTTAGTTTGAAAACGCATAAGTTTTGCTACGGTTACGCCATCCGTCCACACTACGCCGGAGTTCTCGAGCGCCGAAAACGTAGCTTTTTGAAAACGCTGGAAAGGCCGTTTTCATTCTAAAACGCTGCTGCTCCGTCTCAGTGTGGATGGGGAAAGACGGAGACATCTGAAAACGGAGGCGGGGCTGCAAACATTCGCCTATCTGATTGGGGCTTTTCCTCAATATTAAGTAGCCCACACACAGTTCAGTCTCGCATCCTCTTCTTCTAAGTTAAGACTTCGCAAGTTTGATCAAGGCTGCAGTCTCCCCCTTCTCAGTTTGATATGGAAAACATACCGAGGACACGGGTAAATCTTCAAAGGGAACAGTGTACTTTATAACTTCATTCACATCACCTTGGCTACGTTGTTTCACTTTCTCAACAATAAAATGTAAACATGATTTAAGGAACTGCCTATTTTCATTTTAATATTAGCAACTAAACAGACAGCAGAAATGTTGAGGCGCCGTGCTGCATATATGAGCGTCATCTTCACTGTGTGGATATTTATAACAAAACGGAGCCTATAACAACTGCCTCCTTTCATTTTCATTGAAAATACGAAACGCACCCGCTCTTCTGCTGAATATCAGTTTTAATAATCGATACTTATAAAAGTATAACATACAATAAGTTTATACATTGTAGGAAATAAAGACGAGCGATCAGTCAATGTACCTGGATTAATCATTAACTTATCTTTGCGCTTAACCAAAACATGTTACCCGTGAACAAGTAACTTAATAGATTCCAATGACCAAAGTCAGGGAATTGGCCTATGTCGTTAGATAAAGACAACAACATGAATAAAATATCACCTTTAGCAAATATAGTGAGATTAGATCCAGCGGGAGATGCTTGATGAGCAGTCCGACAAGCAGAGCTCTCATCTGGGTAGAAATGCTGGAGCGCTTGCCCGAGAGTGTGTGTGTGATCACGTGATGTGCGTTTTCAGCGTTTTGGTGTGGACGGAGAGCTGTTCAGAAACGCTGGGTAAAACGCGAGTGTGGACGCGGATCGTTTTCATTCTACAACGCCATTTTAAAACTAAAACGCACTAGTGTAAACGGGGCCTAAGTGTGAACTACAAGTGCAAACACACCCTAAACATAAATATTTAAATGCATGTGTAAAGGTTTGTTTCATAGTACATTTCATTGTCTCTTTTTTAACTGGATAATCTAATAATTATACACTATTTATATATATACACTATTTATACATATACACTATTTATACACTATATATATATATATATATATATATATATATATATATATATATATATATATACATGCATATTTACATTTATTTTCACATAATTTAATATTAAATTGCTGAAATTGTTCCTGGTAGTGTAACTAAATTGTTTTTGTTTAGCATTATGGTTACTGTTAGCCTGTATTTAATGCTAAAATATGCAATATATTTTTAAAAAACAGCAGCTTTTGTTTCCTCTACATTTACAGAATATAAGCATGTTTTCTTTGTTCATATATTTTAAAATAGAATTCATTTCTGAGATGGCAAAGCTGAATTGTCAGTCTCATTACTCTAGTATTTGGTGTCACATGATTCATTACAATCAGTGTGTGTTTAGATGCTCAATTCACATTTATTATAATTATGCATGTTGGAAAGCTGTTTAATATATTTGCATTTGGATTTTGTTTGTTTTCAAGATTTGCTGACTAGCTGAACATTCAAATGAGCAGCATTTGTTTGAAATATCTAACAAATAAACATTAAACTCCCCCTCAATATTTGTATTATACTGTAACTTAATTAGCTTAAATCTTGCTACTGCAATATTAAAACCGTTTATGTAATGCTACACATCTGAAACATCGCTTTTAATAAGCATGTTCACTGAATCTCATGATTCTTCTAGCATTCCCCTTTTAAACTGGCTTTCGTTTTAATAATAAATGCATTGCATTCCATTTTAATGTATTCTATTCATCTTTTAGAACGGAAAAAGTAGCATATTTTTGCTAGCGTCTCATAGCAGTCTCAATTACGTCAATACCACTGATGTTTTGCTTTTATAATATCTTTCTGATCTTCAATGACAAAAAACTGAGATTTTGCTTTACTTTAGTAGGCTTAATTAATATAATCACTAAACACTACACTGCATTAACAAACTGGCAGTAACAAATCTCCTTTCTCTCATATTTTCAGCTTCCTCAAAGTTACATCTTTAAAAAAACGTAAGATTTTTTGACCCCCATTCATCCCTAATATTTATTTCCAGCAGAGGCAAAAGAACACTTGACAGAAGCCTGAAAACTGCTTAAAATTGGCCCAGCATGAAGAAAACACAAAACAGATAGTGAAGAGAACAGGAAGCAGAAAGGATGAGCAGGTGTGCATGAGATGAGACGGGGCTTTGGAGACTGAAGGACCGCGCTAAGCCGACCCGGTGTATATATGCGCCATTCATACCGTTTTCCTCACCTTCGCAGCCTCTCTCCACCTGGCCGGCGGTGGACAGTGCGTCTGACTGCAGGTCTGGCAAGCGGCCGTTCAGGTCCACAGATGCCAGGCAGCCCTGGAAGCCCTCTTTTGAATGCACCAGCTTTGGCAAGTCCTTATACATATCTTTAGCCACACCTCCAACATACAGATCACCTGTAAAGGCAGCAAAATTCATGCTCTGACTGACAGTGCCTTTTCAATTTAACCACCAAGGGGGCATGTTATGTAAATACAGGAAGAAAGGTGCACCACTGACCCCTGGTGGTGCGTTTGTTTATTACAGTTTACAACATCATGCACAACATCTTGCACAAATTCAAGTTTTTGTTCAGGATAGCTATTATTTTTTTTAAATTGGTATTATTTTATTGATCAAATATACATTAAATTGGCAGTAAAAAAAATAATCATCTTACAATTTTTCTTCTGATCGTATTAATCAAGCAATGATATGTGTATTTCTTTTGAAAAATAATATCATTTGAAAAACAAAACACATAATAACTTCCAAACACTACAGTAGTAATAAATTACATTTTTAAATACCTTTAAATTAATTACTTTTTTACTTATTTAAACCATGTATTAATTAAATTCAGCCTTGGTAGGCATAAGAGGACTTTTTAAAAACATAAAAAACTCTCAATTTTTTTCAGTTTTATATGACCCCAGACCTTTAAAGCATTTTGTACATATAATATAATATAATATAATATAATATAATATAATATAATATAATATAATATAATATAATATAATATAATATAATATAATTTTCTTATTTTTTTTTTATATTAATTGAAAATATGCTAAATATTTAGTTATTTATGCACAATTATTGACGAATTGAAGTTTAATGGTAATGTAGAGGCTGTTTATAAGAAGGCAAGTCAGCGCCTCAGTCTCCTCCACAGGTTGAGAAGTTTTAATGTTAGTACACAGACTTTAAACATGGCATATAGACCATTGACAGTGAGTGTTCTCACTTATAATATGGTTTCTTGGTTTGGTAACACAACACTTAAACAGAAGAAGAAATTATTGCAAATTATCAATCAGGCGAATAAGATAGCTGGTCTCAAACAACATTCGTTGTAGATTTTTTTTTGACTCCTTTATGAAAAAAAAAAGCAATTGTGAAATTTTAAAGATATCACACATCTCCTCCACTCAGCTTTTGAAATGTTACCATCAGGACGCAGGTTTAGAATTCCTAAAGCCTGAAGAAATGCTTATAAAAAGTCATTTATCCCAATTGCAGTTGTTGTCTTAAATCGGATCACTGTTTAAAGTGAATGGGGTGGTTGTCAAGAATGATGTGCAGTAATATATATGGGGCTAATATAGTTTTTAAATCTTTAACTCATGTTGTTGTCCTGATGAGTGTTGTTATTGTGTGATTGTTGTATGTATGCAAATGTTGTCTTAAATCCAGTGTTAAAGACAAATTTCCTTTCTGTGCCAAACAGAACAGACAATAAAGTTTAAACTAAACTAAAATTTCAACAGTAAACATCATTCAAATAAAATTAAATAAATTATATATTTATATTTATATTATAAATCATAAAATCAAATAAATTACACTTTAAATTACCATTAAACCAATGATTTAAATATATATTTTTACCTCACATGTAATTATTTCACATTTTTAAACCATGTTATTAATGAAATTCACATAAACTTCATTCACATAAAATTAAATAAAATCTGTGCGGCTAGTTTCAACTAAAACAATCAATTACAATTACTAATGATAAAAAATAAAACCACATTTACCTTTCAGATCCAGGTTCTTGGCTCCCATGGTAGTCTGTGTGGTGATTTTGGTGTCTATTTTGACAGTATGGAGGTTGTTTGTATCTCGCGAGATCATCACGTTGTGCCAGTGATTGTCATTTAGCGGTGTGTTGGAATTGCCTTTGATGAGATGAGCTCCATTTCCCAGATCTGACACGTAATGGAGATATCTGCAAACGAACAGCGACAAAAACAATTAGCAAATACCACAATCAACACATATTCTACAAGCAAAAAAAGCAAAAGCAGCTCACCCTTTAACCAGCTCTACCACTATAAAGTCATTGCCATCTCCTCGGTTGTACAGGATGAGCCCATCTGGAGAAGTAGTCTTAAACTGGAAGAAGAGGTGCATCGAATAGTAGGCCTGCAGGGTGGGCAAAGTCACATAGCTGGAGCGAGACTTGAAGGTCACTGGGTCTGCCACGATGCTCCTGTAGCCGATCATGGCGTTCAGTTCGCAGTAGTCGATATCGCCGTTCTTGCACAAGTCAATGTAGGACATGCCATTGAAGGACAAACCCTGCAGGTGTCCGATGAAGTTGGAGGGCACAGCGGGCATGTAGCGCTTCTCGGTAACGATGCCCGTTTCCACATTGTGGAACTCCAGCTGCGTGTGGTCCCCAGTGATTTGACCTTACCAGAATGAATAATCGAAAACAGATTTAATGCAGGAAAGGGGAGGCGTCAAAACAGAGACCTTGTCCTAAATGTCAACATAAGACAACACAGGGATCTCACTAATCAAATGAGAAACAATGTACTGTTTCAAATCATTTACCACCGTGTAGTATGGCTTTGCATGTGGTTAGGGACTTGCATCTGTGATTGAATAATCAAAATTTGAGCTAAATCAAGCTGAAATGGAGGTGATGTTTTTTGACTAGCAACTTTCTGAGGTATGTTTGTGTTTGGTGTTAGAATATGCTTTATTTATTTTTTATTGGAGGTTGAAAACTTTACTATAGCAACGTGGGTCCTCAGATTTTCCAGCCTATGAATACATTTGGTCAAAATCTTAATAAAAGATGCTATGCTAAGGTTAATTAAAACAGTATAGGCTATGACTAAACAATAAATGCAAGACTAAACACTTTTTCTGCTCATCAAAATCATGAAATATTAACATTTAGGCTACAGATATGGTATTTCTTCAGTAAAGAAATTGTGTAACGTAAATATTTAGTTCTTTATTTTTTACCCTCGGATTGCTAACAAGCTTAGATGATCGAAATTGTTTGATTTATTGGTAGTCTGAGGGTCCAATGAGGTCATGAGATTTAGTCAAACTCTTTTTAACACTTTTCATTGGTTACATATTTGTAAAACACCCAGACAAACTTAGAAAGTGAAAAACAGCATTGTTAAATGGAGAAAAAAAGCTACAAAATCTCAAACCTTTTATAATAATGTAAACATTTTATTGAATGCATAACCTGTCAAATGTGATAATCATCCAATATCATTAAATATAAAGTGCCTGCATAATATCCTTTCTTCTATCAATTTTTATGGCTTATTTTGTTCCATGGTAGGTTCTGGCCCTAGAATACTGTTTTGTTTTCAGAAATAATAAATCAAAATTAAGTAGGTTTTTCAATGTTTTGTTTTTGGTTTAAAATAATAATATTTTTCTTACACTATTGGTGATTTCTTTTCCTTGTTTTAAGGAAAAATACACTTAAAGAGCCTCTATTGAGGGTTTTTGAAAATGGCCTTCCATGTAGTGTGTAAAGCCTGGTTTATACTTCAAATTTATACACTTTTTATATACTTTATATACTCTTCTACTTTTTATACTTGCGTCAAGTGACCGGCGTAATCCACGGCGCATGCAACGCGCGTAGCTGTGCATTTATACTTCTGAGCGCTGTCTCTGTTGGTCTGCATTAACACTTCCGAAATGCTAGTTGGCAGTGAGGAGTAAATGTTCCTCTGTGTCGAGTTTTTTCTGAACACTTCCGGCATGTGCAAGTGGCTCAAACTCGCATATTTTGAGGCAGGAACCGACGTGTAGTTACATTTTTTGAGAGGTGCACGTCAGCGACGCCAATGGCCACGGCAAAGGGCTATGCGTCAGCACCGTAGCATATGTCGGCGTTTGACGCAGAAGTATAAATCAGCCTTAACACAGCTCTAAGTTAGGAGAAATATTCAGCTAAGCCTTAAATCTGAAAGTGCGCAGTGTTTAAAACTATTGATTCATCTATTAAAGAGTTGATGCATAGTGCTTTAAATGAATCGACTTGATAACGAATCTTTAGCCGTTTCGGCGTGATGCGATACAAAACATAAGCCCGGCCCAATAGTTGCGTGTGCAAACCTGGAAAAATTGAAACCCCTGTTCCCGCCACAAACACTGTAGCTGATCCCAGTCAAAGTCATTGAAGCCTGAAGTCATGTAGACACTGTGCTCAGCTGGATATTACTGGTGTGAGGGAAATGTTAGTGTTATTTTCTCTACCCAAAGATGAAACTGTGAAGAGTGGGTAGTTGAGCTTTATTATTTGACGAGTGCTTCTGGAATCTACATGCTTACAGCGGGGGATTCGTCAGCTATTTGTTAAAGGAAGGATCAGAAAAGACTATTGATGTGTGGGACTTTGTCAGACCTTGATAGGAACTTTACAATACACAGTTCATGGACCAGTTTCTTCCTCCATTTCACAAGTGTAAGTAAGTGTGATTAAAATGGTTGCCTTCTAGTTTTCTCTAGCTTGCAAATGATATATTTAATTGTGTTTTGTGCTGCTTTGTTAACAGATTTAAATGTGTCTGATAGCTTGCGTTCCACTGCCTTTTGTCGTTGCTTTGGCCACCATCGGCTGCTCCAACACACTTGCAGCAGTCAAGCTTCAGACTAGTTCAGCTTTTGTTGTGTGCATTAGTACCATGATAAATAACAAAACGGGAGGGTGATGGCAGACTACGCACTCAGACTACTTCAATATTGTTGATAAGCCGTAGTGGACATTTCACTCCATCTCGTGCTGGCACAGACTGTCATCGGTCCAATCCACGCAAATTAGCATCGTGCTAAGATGGGGTTTGGGAACAAATGAATGGCTAAATGATTCATATGGGAGTTGCTGGGATAATTAGGTAAAAACAAATGCATATTATAGGACAATGAAAGTGTTTTTTGACGTGGCATGCATATTAGCTGTTATTTTACCTTTTTAATGTATAATAGGGGCTCTTTAATTTTGATTTGTTAATTCTGAAAATATGCTTCTCAATTTAACAATTATTCAATTTTTATACTAGAAACCAGAATTAAACAGAAGAACAGCAGTTTTTGCTGCAAATTTATTACTACAAACTAGTATTACTTTACAAATGTCTAAACGTCTACAAACTCATAAAACTGATCCAAGATTTAAAATTACATGTCTTTGGTAGTTTGCTATGCACTTCGAAGCACTTATTAAAAATAAAAGAAAGGTTTCAAAGCTTCATTAAGCAGCATATTGAAAGAAGCCATTGCTAACGTTCACATATAATATTCTATTTTAAACAGGACCGCAGTGATGTCAAATTTACTGCAGCAAGATTTTTAATAAACGCTGAAAACTAGGAAACACGAAAGCATCAACAGTTGGACGAACATTTGAAGTATTTTAAGGAATTTGAAGGGGAAAAAAGGTTAACTTCATCTTTCTGCGATCCGTTGGGAGAGACAGAAGCCCTTAAATATTTTAAAAACCTCTTTTAAAGCTTCCCAAGAGGAAGTTCGTTCACTCTAAAATCAGTAAGGTTATGTGAGTATAATGTATTCCCTCAGCGGTCTGGCCTCCGAATGCATCAGCATTAAATAAAATACCAAGTGTATTTCAAAGTGTCCAATACACACCAGTAAGTTAAGCAAAAAAAAACTAAAGATGATTGTACTGCGTTGTGGGAAAGCCCTGCCTTTTTCATGTGACACTACTTTCAGTGGGCAAATTGCAAAAAGGTGTTTTCGTGCCCTTGAAGAGCACTAAGGGAACGCTAGTGGAAAGTCACTGAATGGTCTTTTCACATGACCATTAGCAAAGTGTACAAATGATGATCATTACTTAAAGGTTATAATTATGATTCTAATTATGCATGTCCCTCTGATTAATATTACAACTACTGGTGATTTTTTTTCTTATATTGGAGTTTAAAGTGTTCTTTTGCTCACTTGTATTTGTATATTAGTTACCTTTGAATTTATATTTTGAAATCATTTGTAATTGTTTTTTTTACTTTTATTTATCTGTACACAGGAACTATTTTATAATTATATTTATGAAAAACTAATAAAATTTTGAGTCTTTTGCATAATATACTTATTATAGGTATTTTTTAAAGAAACTAATGCTGCAGTTCATCAGAATTTAAAGTTAAGACCTTTTCATGGTTGTGAAATATTTGTTATAGACAAAATGTTTTTCAACTGTTACAAAAATAATCCAGAAAAAAGTAACCCTGTTTCCACAAAACTATTATGTTTTCAACATTGACAAAAGTAATAAATCTTTCATGACCACCAAATCAGGAAACTAAGATGACTGCTGAAGGAATCCAGCAGACACACATTGACAGACATTAATATTAGGTTATATTTAGGTCGTCAGCATCTAAGGACAATGTTATTTTGACGTTCAATAAGGTTGTGGAATGACGCTTACTGCATATTTATTTTGATATACAATAATTACATGAAATGATGTTGGTATTTATTTTGACTTTCAATAAGGTTGTGAAATGACATTTGTATTTATTTTTGATGTCCAATAATGATGTGAAATTACGTTAATATTAAATTTGACGTCCAATAACGACGTGAAATGTCAATGATATTTTGTTGATTTTAGGTTGTGTTGGAAAGTGCGTCAAGCCAACATCAACGTCAAGCCAACATCTTAAACAAATACATATTGATGTCAAATACTGACATTTATTTGTCAAGTATGGCAACCAAAATCCAACACTTGATAGACGTCATTAGACATCATTAGACGTTGATGTTTTATTGTTTTTAGGTTGCGTTGGAAAGTAACCAAAATGCAACATCTGTCCGACATTGGGCATTGATGTTGACCTGACATTAGGTTCTGATGTCAACCTGATTTTTATTTCCAAACAGAATGCATCGTCCCACAATGTTGGGGTACAACGTCTATCTGACAACATGTTGGTGTCCTGTGCCTGCTAGGATAATGATGAAAATGGGTTTTGCCTAAGAATGATTTACTTTAAGCAATAAAAACTAAACAGTTTTTACTGCATTTTTTTACAAAACAAATCTTAAAATGACAACCTTTTGAGAAAAACCACAAACACATTTACATATCATTCAAAAATAGATATATTTTCAAATGGCAAGTTAAAAGTTATTTAGTGCAAACTTGATTCTTAAGTTTTGTTATGTTAAAATTACGTAATAGTTAAAAAAATAGTAGTAATATATAAAATCATATACAGTGATGCCATGTGTCTTAAAATTCACATTTTGGTGTATGAGGTATATTGCTTGAAATAATGCTGTACCTTCAGAGGGCTGCAAGTCGTCCACCATCAGCTTTAGACTTTTGCCTCTTCTGACGACACGAACTGTGTGCCATTCGTTGTCATTCAAGTTCTGGCCCGAAAATATGGTCTCTGGACCTTTACCTATAACATGTCCCACACAGCGGTTAACAGAGTGCAGAGAAAGTGAGAGCGAGAGAGACAGAGGAGTTGTGAAAAGGGATCAACTAAAAAAAGGGGGTGCAGAAATATGACTGATATCCATGTAGAGAAAGAAAAGAGAAACAGCGAAGAAAAATGACAGTCACACATCACATTCACACACTTAAATCTATAAACATCCTTGCTACTTGCTAAACTCCATCCTGTTCTGAATTCAATCTCACCTAAAGCATAAAAAACCCTATTTGTTAGAGAGTGAATAGATTTATCCACCTTCCGCCGCTAGAGGGAGCCATGCAACTGTTTTCAACAAATTCTCTTCTTTAGGGAAGCAACCTGCGTATTTCAGTCAGCTGCATATGCGTCTCACGTCTTTACAATTCCTGAGTGGTTTAGGAAGCACATTCAAAAACCTACAGACTGTAAACTCTATTCGAGAAAGCAATTTCTCGCCTGTAGAGCCTCCCCCTTATCCCGTACGCACGTGCGGCGAGTTCAACGGGACCCCCGGACCTCCAGGCTCCAATCGAGCTTCCACTAGATGATCAGAGCGTGTGAAGAGGAGCCTGCAGGCTTTGTGATTTCAGCCGATCGGGCTCTCTTTGACACGTCGTTGTCTCTTCTAATCAGTCAGACTGCTGCTAAGAGGGCAGCGTGTCATTGTCAGGGGCCCCTGCAGCCTATCTCACTTGATAACAGGTAAAAGGAGTTGCCATTAAAGAACTGCCAGGCTCCCAATCGATTTTCTATCCCTCCCCACTCTCAATTACTATGAATCCAGATCAGCCGGCCATGAGCCAGCTCTGACGGAAAGAAAAGCAGCAGCACGCACGCTTTCATCGATGGTGCCCTCTGAAGGAATCTGAGAGGAAACGCAAAGTGGCAGAACCATTAAACAGGCCCTATGACAAAACAGAAAGTGTTCCTGGTTTATTTTGAAGGTCACAAGTTTACCATGCATTTAAGACCAAAAAATATAGAAATTTTACCAAAATATTTGACAATATGACAATTTCCGAAGAGTTTCAAAAGAACCCCTCCATTCCAAAATCCAATGCTCCACACAAATTGGTCAATCTGTTGCGACTGATTTTGAAATTGAGGAAAATGTCCATTACTATGTATGACTAAAGGCTTCCATCCTGTAATGATCACAAACACTGTAGTCTGTAACTATTGCTAGTTTTACTATATGAATTGAAGACCATTTCAGGTGATGAAATGCAAGAAGAACTACGCAGCTGATCAATTCAAGCCTTACAAACAATACCTCTTGACATCCCTACTGGTAAATTGGTGGTTCATTATGTGTTGTATGTGTTAAGATTTACCACTCTGCATTCCACATATTGTGTGTACGTTTTTGTGTGTGTGTGTGTTTGAGCATGTAGTAATGTACACATTATGTCTACTTAAACATGCATTCAAGTGCTTCATATATTTTTGAGTGAAGTTTGATTTAGGCTGTACTGTACATTGACACTCAAATTCTCTCAACACAAACAAAGTCAACACAGGCTCGTTCTTAAAAAAACAGCCCTATATATGTTTCTGGAGATTATGAGTTATGTAGCCAGAAGTACGTATGGCTGCATTTTGTCTTTAAAGCGAAAGCTACTGGGCAGTATGATTCCATTCCTTTTCACGCTTACCAGCTGATCGCTTGACTCAGTGTGGACGGCTTTCCCACTGTTACCAGTTTGTTCAATAAGCTCGCCATGTGTGTCAGCGGACTTGAGACGCAGAAAGAAGTTGACCCTAACGTCAGCAAAGCATGGTTCCAGAGAGCAGGTAAGGCATAAACAGAAGCCAAAAAATAAAATAAACAAGTAAATACCAGGGTGAGAATGTGGTTAAATCTGAAAACGTGGTCAAAATTAGACAAGGGCTTACTTTTTCTAGATTGCTTTTTAAAACTGTCCATTAGGTTAAAGGAAGTGATTGGGCAGGTCAATCGGTGCTTTTGAAAAGACTTTGGGTTGAGTTTAGGGAAAGAGGAGAATGGGTCAGCCGATCGGTTGGTCAGTCAGTCGATGGTGGATTTATGCGAGAACAGCAGGTGCAAATGGCACTCGCAAAAGAAATTTGAGATCTCAAAATGCATACACAGTGCCCTCTGGTGGATTAATGAAAACAAAAACTGCGAAAAAGTAGCTCCTGGGACATATTTGGCGCTCTTCAGAAATATATATAGCAGTACGTTTTCCGAATAAGCCTGGGTTGAACAAAGTGATGCATGTCATAGTTTCATTTTGAATATAAATATAAATCTCAACAGATAGACAATACACACTCAGAAATAGATGTATACAATCTGTCACTGTGGTGTAGCTATAGGCAAAGCACACATTTTCGGCCAAATTTTTGTTGATGAAATTAACAAGTACAAAAAGTACATTATTTATCACAGACTTTGATCTTTAAGACTTTTCAGACATTTTACATTCACAAACACCATTTCCCACTGCATGGACGGCAATGTTTGAAAAAGCATAATGGGGCAATTTAAACCACAGGTGATGTGCAAGACTTGACAAGTGCTTTTTTTAGGCCTCTGACCAGGATACAAGTGAAAAGGTGACAGTGTGTGATTGGACAGCTGAAGGTCCAGGGCTGGTATGGCTTTATTAGGAAGCTGTGTTCAGACAAACTCGCAAGCAGCAAAGACAAAAAAGCCTCTCCCTCTGTCTGGGAGGGCAGCTCGTTGCCATGAAACTGGGGCAGATGGTTGCGTGTGTCCGGTCACTTTGATTCTCATCTCCCAGGGTGGAGAGAGAGGGCAGAGTTAAGTAAGACAGAGGCGGGCAGGGGCTGGCTAGAGCTCTCTGACAGGACAGGGCTAGCAGGAGAACACAGACCAGATGCGCACACACACACACATTTGTCTCGGCCAGGAGAAATGAGATACATTTATATCTAGCTCATCCAGCTGAGAACGATACCCCATGTGAAACAAGTACAGGCAGCCATTTTGAGACAGGACCATCTTGCTATTGAGGACAGTAATTCAGCTCTGCTGGGACTTATTAATAATCAGCAATGCTAAAGGCATTCTGCAGACTTTTTGATGGCATATTTACAACAAGGATGTGGAGTCAGATATGCAAGACTAATATACTATAAATATTTAACATTTATACTGTATATATCCTGTATACACACACACACTTTTGCTATACTGTAAATCAAGGATGTAGATTAGCTCGACATTGGTGGGGACATACATTCCTAGAGCACATGCATTGAACAGCAAAAATTCTGTTTCGTGCTTTTAAAAACACGAATAAAGAACTTAAAAAAGATAAAATAAACACTTAATAATACAAATAACAATCACGCCCCATGCTGCAAAAGTCAATTTAATAATTTTACTGCAGTCGAGCTTTGAAGAGGTTTAAATGAAGAGAATTTTATAAAGGTGTGCAATTTAACTGTTTTATCCAGATAACTGTTTCTCATAATCATGGAGGCCAAAATCCAAAGCGAATGTCTTGGTAAATAGTATTAACGTGAACTCGTAGTGAACTTGACTTTGTGCACGTGCAGGTTACTAAGGGTTGAAGGAGCATTATTTTATTTTGAAGTCGATTAAATTATTGGTTGGGACATTTCAGTAATTGGTGGATATTGGTGGGGACACGTCCCCTCCACCTATGCTAATTGTAAGCCCTTGATGTAGATACATTTTATACTTAGTGTTTAAAAGAAACTAAGAAGATAAAAGTAAAGGTAAAAAAAAGCCCCTGATTAATTTCAGAAGGCAAATATTGACCTTTCTTTAGATGATTTCTGACACTAGTATTGACTGTGTCCTACAATCCTATATGCGGCCAGCCATGTGTGTGAGAGGTTTCATTTATTACAATTTACAGTTCCTGATAACAAAAGAGCTTCTGTGGGTGAAATTATAACTCAACCAGGAGAAAAAATGGCTGTCTTTCTGTTTATTAACGGAGCACTGCAGGTTAAAACATTAACTTTTATACCACAGTATGATAAATAACCACAACGTAAAACCACAACCTTAAACCAATACGGCTCACATTTCATTCTGTCGCATGAAGCAGTTTTTATAGAAAATAATTTAAAGGTCATCAAAATCTGAACAGCCGAACCGTTTCGATGGCGCAACTGTAAATGTCAGAGACCCAAGGTGAAAATATGGATCCCCGAAGTGCAAACCTCTAACCAGGCAAAATGCTGCTCTCAACCTATAGCCTGATTTAGCCAACAGCGTATAGTGACCCCACTAGATTTTAAATATACGTCTTTCATCCTGCTGACACTCAGACCGTATTAACAACCCATGAGCTGATGTGACAGCACTCTCTTCGTTGAATGCACTGTCACCCTGGGGGAGGCCGAGTCCCTAATTGGCAACGGCTTGTTCTCCGTGTCAGAAGAAGAACAACGCTCATAAACACAAACGCGCACGCACCGATGACAGGAGTAGCTATGGCTGACACAGATAATTAATGAGGATACAAAAACAGAGAGATGAAACTGCACAATAGCAGGCTGTTCAAACATGTAAAGCCCCTGCTTCTGTTTCGCTACGGGAGCTTAAATAAAACATCTCTGAGTCCCTGATTCTGTCTTTTTGTCACCGATTCAGACAATTAGAAGCCGTGTCCTTGTGCGCAACAACGCTCGTGTGAAAAAAAGATGCAGCGAGACAGATATCAGCACAAAAGCTCATTTTTGTGAAGGTTGAACTGACTTAAGTCTAAGAACGCCCACTGTGTGCTGGAAAACACAAAATGGCCACCGTCCACGGCCTGTTTCTGAAGCCTAAATTTACAGAACAGAAAATGGCACTATTTTATTTCTATTATTAAGAATTGGAGGAATGTGACTGAATTCACAGAAGCATAATAATGAGCATTTTAGAGAAAATAGCAGAAATAAAACACAACATAACTGAATGAGGAGGTAAACTACCATAAAAGCAAGCATACTCTGGTTCAATTAGCATTAAAACC